AGATAAGGGTGTTGGACTCCCACATGATTGACCATGGTTCGAGTCCTGGACCTGGAGGCTCACTTTCTCACATTCCCTCTCGCTCTCACTCTTTCATTCTGCCCCTCTCTGGTCAAAATTAAAAATAAACATGAATAAGTACAGAAAAAAAGTTAAGCAAAATAATTCTTTAAAAAAAATAATTTTAACTTAGTGACAAAATAATAATGCTCAAGACATTATTAATACTCATCTTTAAGGTTTTTAAACATAATTTCTGGATATTTAATTTGACTGGGAAAGGTCAGATATTGGATGCACTGTGATGCAGCAAAATCCTGTAAACATATTTCTATTAAAGAACCTTCTGTGTTCAAGTTACTGTGCTTGGCAATATACAAGAAATATTAGACCAGAATTAAGATGGGCTTAAAAATAGCCAACATCAATAATTTATTCTTCCAAAAAGTTTTAGAAAACTAGGAGAGTAGAGTGGAAAGTCCAGAGTTTGGAGGATTTAACCTCTACCTGTGGCCTTTAAGAGTACCTCTGGGTAATTTTGTCAGTCTTTCGGAACTTCAATTTCCCCATTTATGAAATGAGGCAGAAGCCATTCAAGGGCTGAGGGTTAAAATGAGTTAACAGTAAAGCATCTACGCCAGCACAAAAAGGTTACTCATTTAGTTCTCTCTGTTCTTAAATTCACAAGGAAACTAGCCAATTTCCGCAATATAAAAACCAACAGTGCCACGTTTCTTTTTTTTTAATTAGCTAATTTATTTAATTTTATTTGCTATTATTATTATTTTACCTTTTTTTGAGAGAGAGAGATTTTTGCTATAGGACATGTGCACTCCCAGAGAGACAAAGAGACAAAAAGTGAAAAAATCACCCTCCTCCACCACATCACAATTCCTTCTCCTCCATTTTCCTCTTGGGATCTTGGGCACACATGCACATGGGCCAAGTGTGAGGTTTAAGCCACCAGGTCTGGGACTCGAACCACAGTTGGTTATGTGAGAGTTCAGAGATGTAACCATTACAAGATCTGCTGGTCCCTGTTATTACTTTTTAATATGACCAGAGAGAGAAAAAGGGAAAGTGAGAAAGCAAGCTACCAGGTCCAGGACTCAAACCATGGTCAGCCATGGGAGTCCAACAACTTAACCACCACACTATCAGCCAGCCTCAAGGTTTCTTTTACAAATTGGGGTTTTGTTTTATTTTTCTCTTAAAATAAAAATTTTGTTGATTAAAAAAATTAGAAAATACAGGGACCAGCAGGTGATGTGGTGGTTAAGGCGCTGGACACTCCCACATGGCCAACCAAGGTTCGAGTCCCCGAACCCGTGGCTTGCTTTCTCACTTTCCCTTTCTCTCTCTCTCTCTCTCTCTCTGTCTGTCCGTCTCTCTCTGGTCAAATTTTAAAAAATAAAATGAATGAATAAATAAAATTAAACGAATAATTTTTTTAAATTAGAAAATACAGATAAGAAAATTACCTCCATTTCCATACTTAAGAGGTAAACTTTTTTTTAATGCATAAGTTTTATACATATTAGCTATTTTTTTACCCTTCCCTAATTTTCCATATAAGTCCTTCGTGTAGATTCTCAGGAACTTTGCACAGACTTATCACAAATCTTATCACTTCAAGATTCTTATTTTCATATCTGTCCCCCCTACGAGGCTCTGAATTCCTTAAAAGGACAGTAACTGGGAGCCAGACAGACAGCGGCAGAGCAGTAAAACACAACACTCTGCAAGGCTGACTCACATGGGAAGGTTCCAGGTTTATGCCTAGACCTCTGTAAGTATGCCAGGCACACGGGGGCCCACGACAGGGACTGGCTGAATCTGGGAGGGATCATGGCATCAAGACCCTGTTTGGCATTCTGTTTCTGTACATGTCTCCCTGTCTGTCTGTCACTTATGGAAGAAATAAATTTTAAAGAAAGGACACTAAGGGCATCTTAAAATTCAGTTTGTATTCTCAGAGCCTAGTCCAGGTTAATAAATTCTGAACGTGAATTCTGACTCTTCCAAATGAAAGACTCAAGTAGCAACAGAAAGTGACCGAGATTATCCTTATCCTAAGAAATAATTAAATCACACACCTCTACCCAAGTTAAGTCTAAGAGGAGGCAAAGCTACTACTCTCAAATGTCATCTAGGATAATAACTAATCTTTTCATCAAGAGTTCACTTCATTGCCCAGCCAGGATGGCACAAACAGCAGGGTGCCGCTGCAGGAGGCTGGGGTAACACTCATCAGTTCCTAGAGTAACATAAACTGGATGGGCATAGCTGCCTGTAATCCTAGTTAACTGCGAGGCTAGAGTAGGAGAACCAGGTGGCCGAGACCTTGTCAAACCTTTAAGTCCCTCTCTCATTAAAGGAAAAAAAAAAAAAAAGGTTCACTGGTTATGACTAATGGCTTTCAGAGGTCAAAACAGTATGTGCCAAGCTGTTACACATTTAACTAAGGCTCATACTCAGGTCCCAGAAATGAGAACAAATTACTATTGACAAGCTAAAATGTTAACACTGCCAAAGAAGTAATTCAAGGTTCTGTGATGTTGAAGCCAGACTGAAAGGCTCCGGGGTTTGCCTCTGAAAGACTCCCTGTACGCACACGCCTGTGAACCAGGCTGGCTGAGGTCAGAGATGGATTGCAGCGGGAACAGCCTGTTGGGGATGCTCATTTCTCAGTCTGTCTGTCTCTCTCTCTCTCTTATGGAAGAAATAAACATGTAGACTTTAGCAGTCCTTTGGGTTACCACTACCCCTTATCTAATTCATCTACATTAGAACATACCTAAATTAGAATTTCCATGAAAAGTTGCATTTTGAAGAGTTCATGTAACTCATACTATTAAATACTCTTTTCTTAAATTACTCTAATAAACGGAAAGTCATCAAAAAGCCACTTAAAATATTCAACATGAAGAGTAAATTTGGTTTTGCTTGTTGTCAAATATTTACTTTTCTTGAGGTAATCGTTCACAAATATATGCCTTTTTTTTTTTTTTTTTTTTAAAGATTCAGCCAACAAGAGTTTCTGGTTATTTTGTTGGTTTTTTTTTTTTTTTTTTTACGTAATCAGTGTTCTGGCTAAAATTCAACTCACGTGCGTCACTGACCAACAACTAAAACATTACTACTGAAAAAGGATTGGGCAACTTCACTGCACCCTCTACACACCTCCAAAATTCAGTCCATTCATCGCCATTCTAGAATATATGAGATGCGCATCTTCAAGAACTCAGTAAAGGGCCAACAGTATGCACAAATGATTGTAATAAAGGCAGTCTACGGTGCCAAACAGCGGCTCAGTGCCTGGGCACCATACGGAGAAAGCGTGATTCCACATGGTCAACTAGGGTTTGAGTCACTTCCATGGTGTCTTAAAAAACATGCCAGGCAGGTGAGAGTAGGGTACCCAGGATGATATGTGGCATGACCAAGCCCCATTGTGTGGGGTTCATTCTCTGATGCACCCTCTGGCATTGAAAACTATGTAAGAAATACATATAAGACAACCTCCTTGAGAAATAGGTGCCTTTTTAAGATTTTTTTTTTTCAAGTTTTGCTAAAGACACGTGGGCTAGGCAGAGAGAGACAGAGAGCAGAAAAGTCAGAGATGACCCCTAACTCTAGGGGTATGGCTATATGGGGATTCTGGCCAGAGACCTGGTCCAGGACTCAAACCGTGAGGTCTGCCATATGGGATCCAGTGCTTTAAGACCACAGCACCTGCTAGCCCTTAAATTGTATTTTTATTAACAGTCTACTTTCATCATTTTCATGGTAAAGAAATAAATTTTCCAAAGACAGAACCAGGAAAAAAATAAGCGACAAAAACAAACAAAAGAAAAAGACAGAACCAGGATATTCTCATGAAGGAGTCCATTTTGGGTATTTCAAATGAATAAGGACGCTGGATTGCAACCAGAAGAACAATTCCAGATTCGATTGAAAGAATTAGCTCACCTAGAGAAACTCTTACAACCCAGGAAGGAGATTTGGAATTGAGAAATTGAAGATTAGTAATTTCTGAAAGCGGAGCCACTTTCAAAGTCACTGCTCCCCCTCTTTAATTCGTCACCGATAAAACTGAACACAAGGCTAGAGCAACAGACATCGGGACTGTAGGTCACCGAGAGCAAGAGTTCCACTGAACTCAACTAGAATTTACTGATGCTCTACGTTTGCAAAGGAGCTTTATGGACTAGCTCTCTCCATGCTGAAGGTTCTGCTGGTCCGCCCCTTCAGCCACCTAACGAGCCTGCACCGTAAGGTCTTACTTCCGTAATTTTTTTATTTGAACAAAGGCCAGAGGGAAAAAAATAAAGGCTGGGGAAGGAGAGACGGACAGGTTTAGCTGCCGAGCTCCAGGGCTGTCCAAGAGGGCGCGGGCCCCTTAACAGTCTCCACCTGCGCCCCGCCGCATGCCCAGTCTCCCGGTATCCAAAATGAGCCCTCTTCGCCGACTCCGGGAACCAAGCGTGCCTGCTCTGTCCGGCTCCCCAAAGGCCTCCTTCCCGGAAACCCTGAGGCGCAAGAGGCGTGGGTCCTCGGAGCCAAGTCCCAAGGAGCTTCGGGGTTCAGGGGCCCGGGAGTATGTGGGTTCCAGGCCAGGCAAGGCCGCGAGCCAAGGTGCCGGCCGGCTCCGCCCGGCCTGGCAGGCATTGGTGCCACATCCACAGGCTCTCCCTCTGACTCCTACCCCCTCCTTTCCGCGCCTGCCGGCCGCTCGGGGCCGCGAACCCACCGCTCGGCCTTCCTC